TGTCAGCGTTTGATTTAGTGCTGCTGATCTTGCATCATCCTGAAAGGTCACAGCTTGACTCACGTTACAGGCTACATTTGCAAGCCTGGCAATAACAAAGCATCATTTGTGTGTTGTGAGGAAATCTGCTCTTGCCATGAAAAGCTTTAAACCAAGAGCCCCGCATCCCCCCATGTTCTGTGGGTGCTGCTTTGCAGGACTTGTATTCTTCATTTCCCCACCTCAAAACTCAGCAGTTGAGCTGATGCCCTTCCATTGCATAGGCTGGGGAAGCTGAAGGCTAAGTTAGCGAACGCGTGAAATGACAGGAGCCGTTCAAGACACCTTTCACTAGAGGCTGCTCCAAGCCCCTGTGTCCAACCTGGCCTTGAGCACTGCCAGGGATGGGGCAGCCACAGCTTCTCCGGGCACCCTGTGCCAGCGCCTCAGCACCCTCACCGGGAAGAGCAGTCATCATCAGTTTGGTATCGGTTCCCATTTATTTTTCCCAGTGCTTCCGTTGGCAGGGGTCAGGTTGGGGCAGGAGTTTTCTCCCTGGGGTTGTTTCTTGCCCGTTGGCCAGGCTGGACAGAGCCTTGGGTGCCATGGTTCAGTGTGAGGTGTCCCTGCCCGTGGCAGGGGGTTGGAACTGGATGATCTTAAGGTCCTTTCCAACCCAAACTGTTCTGCGATTCTATGGGATCATGTCCCTGTTGTAATTCCTTTTGAGAGCAGGTTGGTGGTGCTGTGAAGAGGTCGGGGCGAAGCGCGTGTTCCGCAGGCGGTGATGTCCATGGTGCTGCTGCGCATCGGGAGCGTCGGAGGTGAGACCTCAGCTCTCTGCTGCTCTGTTCCCTTGGGTTTGTTTTCACAACAGTGTGTTTGTGTCACAGACCAGGAGGCTGCAGCAGCCACACAGTGCCGGTAACTGTGAATGCCGTGAGGAGATGTGTGAGGAGTGAAAGGAACATCAGGTTAAATAAAGGGACTTATAAACACAGTGGAGGTAAGGGAAAGGGACTTTGCTGCTGCTGCTGTAAACCACACAGCAAATGCTGCCTTCCCTGTGGTACTGCTCAAAAACACGCCTGTGCTGCTCACGAAGCTGAGGCTGAGCATTTCTGTAGCCTTCACAGAAGCCCAAGAGCTTGTCACTTGGAAGGAAAAAAAGGGAAAAGGAAACAGGCAAAGGAAAGGTGAGGCCATTGCTTTCATCTCTCTTAGTTCTTTCCGTTATTGTCGTCCCCACTTCCCCCTCCAAAAATCCAACCAACCCAACCCAGCGTTTCTGGGTGAAAGGCTGGGTTTAGGCTGAGAACTGAGTAAACAGTCTTGAGATAAGCAGCTTTTTGACTGTTAAATGTAGCAGGCCCGCGGCTGACACAGCTTCATGTTGGCAGCTGCCTTCACGTCTGCCTTTGTGATGGAGAGAAGACAGATGTTCTCCTTGGCACGTAAGAAAGCTGCTGCTCAGCAAGATGAAATGTGAAATCAGAGTGAACAGTGCAGCAGAGAGCAGTGAGTGGCCAGCCTGCAAGCTGGGACAGCCTGATGTGGATGTCATGAGGTGGGTTCTTCTTTGGAGTCAGCAACTGCTTTGTCATTATTTAGAAGCTATAGAGGAAGGAACTCTGCTTTTTCCAACTCTGTTAAAATCTTGATGCATGGCACTGAGTGAGCATCCACTGAGACGAATCCCAGGCCAACAGGTGGAGATGCTTAAGTGATACAGCAGTTGGCAGCTATAAAACCCCTACAGCACACAGTGGTCTGATGGATTGGGTTCCTGTGATGGCTGGGTCACAAAGGAAAACATGAGAGTTTCCTATTTAATGTTACTTGTGGATTCTGTTGTCAGATGAGTCTGGGGGCTGCCTCCAGCATGACAGGGTCCACTTCTAGCACCGGAAGCAGGAGCCACATAGGAGGAGCTCATCCTGGGGAGAGCCTGGCGTTCTGCAGTCCCTCTGTGTCCTGTGGCAGAGTAAGTCCGTGTTCACTGGTGTGGATGCTCCAAGGAGAGGGAAAACCCTGTGGGTGAGGTAGATGGATGCCGAGGGTGTCAGCAAGGAGCCAAGGCTCTGCCTGTGGCAGGGGTCCCATGGGCCCGATGCAGAGGGCTGGGCCCTGCTCTACTCTCAGCACGTCCCTTCCCCTCCGCGTGGGTCTCTGTGAAGGCTCAGGTGTGACAGCAGAATTGAGCACAATTCAGACCTGGTGCCAGCCTCCCCAGATGGTCCAGGGTGGCCGTGGGCACACGCTGGGCACGTGCATCCCCCCGTCAGAGCTGGTTTAGGGAAGACTGAAGGCTTTTTTAGCTGCAGTTGAGAATGAGAAGCTGCAGCGCTGCACAGGCGCTTCCCGCAGCAGCAGGGTGCTCTGGCTCCCAGCTCTATGTCCAGGCACAGATTCACCCTTGGAGTTTTAATTAGATACAACGTTTAGTTCATTGTCTTGCACTTGAACCACCGGCAGTGACTGTCCAACGCTGGGCTCTGCCTCCTCCCGCAGCTGCTTTCAGCCGGTGCTGAGGGTGTCCCTAAGGTACGTGAGCTTGCTGTGAACTACTAAATGCCCCAGGGAAAGTGTGACATCAGAGAACTGGAGATAGCAGCAGTGTCTGTGGCTTCCGATCACAGATGAAGTGGCTTCCTCTCCCCTCACCTTCTCCCCAGAAACGACTGGGAGCAGCAGGGTCTCCCTGGGTCCGCGTTTGGGCAGGGTTTGGCTTGGACTTCGCCACAGTCCCAAAGGTTTGAAGGCTGAGCACCGGGGGAAAGGCCTCGTACCTGCATGGTTTCACTCCTGGCTTTGCCATCGGTCAGAGGTGAGTGAGATCTGCCCAGGTCTGCTGCTCCCTTTTGAGGCTTGTGCCCTGCAGTGCATTGGATGTCACTTGTGTGGAGCGGTGCCTGCGGGAGCCTCCCAGCACCAATCTTGGGTGGAGCAACCCTAGGAAAGCCCTGGGACAGAGCACTCCCTTGCACAGACCAGAGATGCAGAGGGCTGCGGCCTTGTGTGCTGTGACAGGAGAGCACCAAGGGGAAATGGGAGAGCTTTGTCCGAAGAGCAAGGCAGCTGCTGTGGAGCTGTACGTAGCTGCAGTTAAAACCAAGCAATTTATCTGTTCTGGCTCTTCTACACAGCACTTGAGAGAGCTGCTCCACAGAGAGGGGGGCAGCATGTTCCCATGGAAGGAGAGCTTTAACAATTATTATAGCAGTGTATTTTAGTTACTGAATTGGTGCATTTTCTGTCGTTGGCCCTTCAGGATAAAGCACGCTTCACCACTGTCTGCTGGGGGAAGAGCTGGAGACACCGTGTTAGTGTACTTGGAGCTAGAGGAAGGGGAAGCTCCCGTGTCAGGAGGATGCAGACTGGTTGGTTTCTTTCTTCACTCTTCCTCAAGAAGGATCTAAAGACAGTGGTGATGGGGGCCAGCGCCAGTGAGTACAGCCCTGACACAACCTGCATCTGAAACGCTCCCGACGCGTGGTGCCAGGGCATCACGCTGAGCAACGCAACTCGGTGGTGTGGGGTTGGCTTCGTGCCTGCAGCCCTCGTGGATGCGTCCCAGCACTGCTGCTGCACACAGGCCTTTGGAACAGGGCTGCGGGAGCGTTGGTGTGCTGTCACCACGGGCTGCTTTGGCCTCCCGGCAGGACCTGGTTTCTTCCCCACTGGCCCCAGCACAGCCTGTGGAGCAGGATGTCCACAGCGTCCTGTGCGGCTCCATCTCTGGTGTTGAGCGGGTTACACCTTCCAGTGTTGTGAACAGTCCAGTTGTAAGGTCCAACAGGTCAGCTGCGCTGTGTCAGTGTGGCTGCCTCACATGCAGCAGCAGCAGCAGTTCCTTGCAGGGTTTGCTGCAGCAGTGGCAGGAATCTCAACATCCATCGGACACCAGTGCGCCTCTACTGAGCACAGGCATGGTGTGGTACCCGCTGCCTGTGAGCTCCCCTCACTGCTGCCTGCTGCTGTGGTTGGAAAGGAGATAAATGTTGTGCAAGTAAGGTCCCAACAACCCCACAGGGTGAGGAAAATCCCATGGGAAGGTTCCCTATGGTCAGGTACCAGCAGCACTCTTGGTGCTGCACACATCTGGTGTTGGTACAGATTTAGCAAGTACACAGACAGCAGCACTGCCCGTGTGCTACACACAGATGTACACTCCTGTTGCGTCAAGCCATCACTGTCTGTGTTTGTGTGTGAGGTTCATGTTCACAGCTACAATGTGATACATAGAAATGTATAGCTGTACACAGCTAAAATGAAATACATAGAAACTGCATCCAGGAGCAATGGATGCACTGCTGAACGATGCAGAAAGATGTGAACTCCATCCCCAGCATATTTGTGATGTCAGGTCTGGTTTCTAAACTAAACCCCTGCTTTGAATGGAATTAACACAAATAATGTGGTCTGTGTGTATGCGTAGGGGTGAGGGTACGGATGCACAATGGGGAGTTACCTTTTGTTTAGGTCACAGGAGAAGGTAAGCCACGACAAATAGCGTAGGACTTCCTAATCATGTGAAGCATGTGTGTAGGGTCCAGTTTCTCTAGGCCATGGTGCCACCCTTTGTGTAACATTACTGCTAATGAGAAAGATTATGTGGCAGAAAAATGTGTCTTTTAACCTTTATCACATAGAGAACAGAGCACGGTAAGTTACTGACCTGAAAGGCAGCCATGCTGCTGGTCCTGCTTCACGTAGGCCCCAAAATGTTGGTGCAGGGATGCGTTTTCCTAACAGGAAGCCAGCTCCCATCAGGAAGCAGACTGGGAGGCTCTGTGTCACCAGCCTCCCTCCCAAGGGCTCTTGAAGTGTGTATTTAGCTGCTGTCCATGGACATGGGGAGACGGCTGCGTCGTAGCTGTGTTAAACTCATCATGCTGGATGTGTCCTAATGGGACCTCCTAAACCCAGCCACTGACTGGAACAGTCTCACCTCTTCCAGTGACACTGAAATCCATTACCCCTACCTGGCTTTTATACAACAGTACTTTGTGTCTCCTTGGTTTAGGGTCTCCTCCTCTAATTCCAGAGACTGCTCTCCTACATTCACTTGAAGTTCCTCTGAAGGCTTGCGCATGGTTAACCAAACTTCCTCAAAATCAGGTAATCAGGATTTTAAGGATTTTGTTTTTAAGGATTAACCATTTCCAGTCAAATGAATGAATGGAAAACACTCACCGGAAGCACAAGCCCCTGGATTTCTACCTTGGAAATACAGCTGCCTCCAGCAGGGAAGAGTTCCTGTCCTCGGGATGGAGCTCGAAGAGGGACAGAACAAGATGAGGACACTGGTGTCTGATGAGTGGTGCAGGAACCGGCTTCCCTGGTCCCTGACCCCCCCCCAGCCCCAGCCCGCAGCACGGAGGCGGACGCGCGGTGATTTAAGAGCACTTTTATTGTTCTTTAAGGCTACTTTTAAGTACAAAAAAACCCCAAAACAAAACAAAACCAAACAGCTGTCTCTTCCCGCCCCAGTCCCGGTGGGATGCGGCCGCGGGAGAGAGACCTATTTTACACATTTACAAACACAGAGTCTGCCAGACGCAGCTGTAGGTGACCCGGCTCTCTGAGGGAACCACCACCGCGCACGGCAGTGACTGCGGTTTAGTTTCCTTCCACACACCCCCCCCCCCCCCCCCACCCCCCCTTTGGCTCTCAGGACATTATTGTGTCTAATACATGGTTTACCGGACAGATCGCATTACGTCTTTATTGCCCTCAAATCCATTTACCTATCTCAGATAAGTAAATGTAACCTTGTAAAACAGCTCTTATTGAAAACATTAGCTTTAGAAACATCATCTCATTTGTGTTTACAAAGAAATATAGGAGTCACATTTTCCACAGAGTCAATCTACAGCATTAGTATTTAATGTTACGATGCTCAGTAGCCTGTAGCAATAACAAACTAGTGGCTATTAATGCTAATGCAGTGTTCTCATAGAATAACTGTGTTCCTGCACTTTTACTGTATTACAGACAAATCTACAACAAAAAAAAAAAAAGATCAACTTTTTTCTCCAAACAAAAAAGAATGATTACAATAAAGGAAAGGGAAAAATTAAATAGCTACATATCATTAACAAATTAATTGTTCCTCAAAAAATACCTACAAATTTCTCTGTACATTCTTTACGCACAGCGTAACGATGGTCTTAAAGTTACCTATATAAAAAAGTGTTCTTTTAACAATCTTCCTACAGAGAGTAGGGTACTGAATGCCAAAGCAAGGAAGCGTTGACTACCCAGTAGGATGGTAGTGAAATGTGTCAAACTGGGGGGCTTAGGTGGTGGGGGTTTCATTTGTTAAAGAGAATTGAGCAGCCACCTTCTCAACCAGAGCAAGAGCCAATCTCCCGATCCTTCCAAATTAAATAGCTTAAAAAAGAAAACAAAAACACAGAAGTAAAAGCCACAATGGACCCAAATACTGTAACGTAGTCCAGAATACATCACACGTAGTTCATCTTCCAGCTAGTTCTAACCTTCTACACTGAACCAATTGTTTCAGGTAACCCAGTAGAAAAACAAAGCCCTAGTTGCAACTGTACTGGGAAGATGGAATGTCTGGGGGAGAGCAGTTACACATAACAAGAAGAAAAGCTCTTTACTAGCCCAGCTGTGGGTTTACGCCTGCCTCTATCGCCTACTTTCTAGTTAGTAGCTATTAATATAGCAAATGATAATAAACGCAGTAATACCTGTATAAAGTTCTCTACTGGAGGAATGTATGCTGCAACTTGGCATAGGCTTATGGAGAAGCTTAAAAAAACCCTAAAAGATCATATTTCACAAACTGTAACAATCTGTTGTCCAGCCAAGGTACGTCACGGTAACCGTTTCTGCAGCTGGTTCAAGGTGGATTACACAGACTTGGGGTCAGGAAGCAAATCCCTGGTTAAGCAGACAGGAACAATGACTCGGTCTTGCGCAAAGCTGTAGCATCCTGTACCACGCACCATCTATCTCTGACTGCGTCGTCCGAGGCCTGGCCTGAGGCTGTCCTCTTTGCTGGCTGCTACTAAAGTGAATATCAAATACAAATATCATAGAGTACAACTGTACCAGCAGTAAGTATATCTAGGATTGTTACTGACAAAAATAAACTAATTCTGAAGAAAAGCTAATAAGTATTATGATTCTTACTGTCTATACATTAATAGATACCAGCTATTTTTCATAAAACATGCATCGTTAAGCACTATTGAACCCTCCGACCTCAGCTCTACTCTAGCAAACTGCAGTGTTTAGGAAAAAATGCCCGTGTTCTGTAAATTATGCAGTCCAGTTGCAAGCACTAAGCACCTGAAATCTAAAGAGAGAAAGACCTATAACCTGTATGAGACTTCCCCTTCCAAAGCTGTTTTGCTTTAAGAAAAAAATAAATCAAACTGATAGAAATGTCATCCTTAAACCCTTTTTTCAGCAGTTTGCCCTCAAAATATTAGCGTCTTCCAGAAAGTTGCTATGCAACTTCAGTCCTCCTCCAATAGTGCAAATCATACATGACAGTTCTTTTCAAGTATATACATACAACGTTACTTCACAGAGGGAAAAAGAACCAAAACGAAACAAAAAACCCCAAAGCAATGTAAGCAAACCAGACAAATCTAGTTTCAAGAAGCTAATAAAAGCAGAAAGCACTTGGGTCAACCAACTAAGTGTGATGGCTTTTGTGGATTAGCGTGCATTAGTTTTTTTTAAGGGGCAGCAGATTTGCATCAGAGGTTTCTTTGGTAATTGAGGCAGGAAAAAAGGATGCTACATCAGATGAATCGTTATGAAATAGTTCCTGCTATCATCTTTAAGGGCACCCTTTCACAAACAAAGTGAGTACACAAAACATGTGTTCAAAACTAACCTCCCTTCCCCGACACTACCGTAAGCACTGTTCAAAGCTCAGTCAAACCATGCAAATTCACAAGGGTCCCGGTCCCCTCCTCAGGAGACCACCGAGGGCGAGTGATTATGATTGACCATGTGAGAGGAGGGGGAAGCCTGGCCCCGCCGCGACGCGGACTCGGGGCTGCTCGAGACGCCGTCCTTCGCAGCTTTGATCTGCAGCCACGTATCCCCAAGTGCTTTGGCAAAGTGGTCATCGACCGATCCTGTGATGGACACGGAGTTTGCCACTGGCTCAGGCTCCTTGTAATTCTTGCCAAGGCTTCGGCGGAAGTGCTCTTCCACCACCGGGTCGCAGGCAGTGGTAGCTGCACAGGGAAAGGAGGCAGAGAGTGTGTTATTTCAGGGCAGAATCCCGTTTTCCTCAGCATAAAGCAAGACCTTACAGCAGTACAGAGCTGTTGGTGAATGGGGGGAGTAGATGGAAGGGGTTACAATGAAGAAAAGTAATAAATGGAGTTACATATCTTTGTATTTCTGCAACCTGCAGCTGTTAAGCGTTTTCTATACAATTTTAGTTCTTCCTCAGGCTAGTGACGACTACAGTTCTTGTTCTATGGAAACGCTCTCCCAAACAATCCCATAGAAGTCCTATTTAGACTTAAACAGAATTAAAGATGGAAGCAGTTCTTTAAAATCAGCTCCCAAGCCTGCTGATACCAGCTGGATGTGGGGAGACCTCATTCTAAATTACACTGTGCCAAACGCTGATTTCAGGGTATCATCTTCCTCTACGTGCTTTGTGCTGAGAGCCAGTCTGAAAGCTGACTGATTCACTACCTCTGCATTAGGTACTGCAAGCATTAAAACAGCATCATAGTATCGCAAGAGAAACAAAGAACCTTAAAAACAGGGTTTGCGCAACAATAGTAGTTAATTCTTCAGGCTCCATGTGAGAGAGCTGCAGTTTTATGCTTTAGAAACATCGTCTGTGTCTACATGAGATTCATCTTTAAAGTCCCCTTCAAACTGGCAGGATCCACGCGACTGCCCTTAGTGCCACAGACAGGCTTGACTGATCCCAAAATACACCGGAGCATTGCCCCCAAGACCTGTTCAAGCGACATGAGACAAGTATCCTCTGACAACGTCCACCACTGCTGCAGAGCCCATGTAAATACAGCTGGGGCTCGAAGAGGGAGCTCACCTTGGACAAATACCAGCAGGTTTCTAGCAAACTTGTGTCCTCTCAGGTCCTTCACACTAGTGAAGGTCTCCTCCAGGGTCCCGCCTCAGTTGTTAATTCCGGGTTTCAACAATACAGGGATCTTCTTTGAGTAACAACCACACACGCACCCCCCCACTGTGGAATTCAAGGGCCCTACCTCTGTCTTGCTGGTGTACAGGAGGCAGAAAGCTGACGCTCCCTGCCTGGGAGCAGCTGCCCTCTACAGCAATGTGCGCTACCCACACAGACAGACGTGGAGGGTATTTACTTCGGAAGAGTATCTGTACCTTCAGGAAGAGGTTTTTGTGACTGCAGTTCAATCTACTGACTCCTGAAGGAGCGGAGAAACTGCAGCACCTCAAATGACAGCGTGGCTGGATCTGCTGTCCATTAGACAGTAACTAAGGACTTGTTTGTGTGGGGTGTGTGTTTGTTTAAAGCAGCTTTTCAGAACAAGAACGAACCCCTCTCTCCCCAACTCTGAACTGGTACCTCCACTGTGGCACGGGACCGGCGGCTACGAAGCCTGCAGAGAGGTGGCTGTTGTTTCACCTCCTTTTGTCCCTGTTTGTTAATACATCAGTGCCTGCACTGGGCGGAGGGTAACACGGCTGTGCTGCTCTCCCAGGGTGCAAGGGGCAGCGCAGGGTGCACACTTACTGCTGGCGGGCCTCCGGTACGGGGGCACGGCGGAGGCACAGCCGCTGTGCGCGATGGGGCAGTGGGACAGGTTGCAGTTGCGGTTGTTGGCGGAAGCGCAGGTGATCACCGAGGGACGGTTCTGAGGGGGACAAGAGAGAAACTGTCAGTCACTGTCAGCCAAAGCTGTAGCAGCAGCAGTTCACTGCAGCAGCACTTGAGAGTGCAGGCACTGAACAGAATCCCAGCAGTGAAATAACCCATAAACCATCCAATTCAGTAACGAGCATTAAACCCCAAAATACTTGGCTGTTGTTTCTTTGCCTGATTAAAAAACCACTACAGTGCACTTCCATCACGGTTCTTAGATATTTAAGTGACAAGCAGCCCTACACAAAAAGTGCAGTGTAAAAGCAAATAATTAAAAGCACTGAAGTGATTTTACAGCAACTGTTTCAACTTCACAGACAACATTACATACATAGAACTAAATGTCAACACAGTGTACGCTTGTTCCATTCCGGTGCCACAGATCCCTGTGATCCCAAGACTCGGCCAGGCTTTACACAGGTTGCAGGTATTTGCCTCCTTAGTGTTACTCAGTTTTTGATGGCACCATTTTTCCTTCAGGAGCTCACTCTTCCCAGCCTGGCTGATCCTGTACTCCCTACTCTGGGCACAAAATATAAGCCCATAAGATTAAATTATAAAGAGCACCTGAGTGAGCCTTGACCACAAATACTTTCCTGTTATAATTAATCTGCTTTTCTAGTGCTGCTTAATGCATCACCCTTCTTCATTCTCAACATATGCAAACTCCCCAAAGCGTTCATCCCATAACCTGAATTCTGCAACGGATACTCTGCACAGTGTAATGGTAAAACACTCTTCTTATACTTGTTCACTATGTAGATGTTGCATTGAAACAAGGCCTAAGGAGGAAGAATGTCCGAGTCTTTCAAGTGGCTGAAGGGAAATGAAGGGGATTAGAATATTTTTGCTTTGCATCTTTGGTCTATTTTATGGTGCAAGGAGTCCATTTTGCTCCAGCCAATGCAAGTTCACTGGTAAGTGTCCAAAGGATTAACTGAATTGCTGTAATTAACACAGTTTTAATTTCCTGTCCATCTTGTGTGCAGCAAGCCCACAAGAATCACTGCTTTACCTACCACCACATACAGTCAATGAGGAAGGAAAGAGTTTTCATTGTGTAGTGGTACTTTAGTGTACAGAGTAAGAGCAAGGCCAAAGTGAGAGTCTGGAAGGGAAGGTTTAACACTGCACGGACACAACAGGAATGACGCCGTTCACATCTTACTGCACTGCAGCAAAGTACAAAATGTAAATGAAGAATTACTCGATTCTTCCCGAAGCATTTGTTTTCTTTTTAGGGACCAAGACTTTGCACATCTATGAAGCAAAATGTATATATGCTGCTCTCTTTTTAAAGGAGTATTTTAGACATCCAAGAGGTGGGAAGTGGAGACAGAGTGAGGCAGCAAACAAGGATGCACGTTCGGAAGCGAGCAAGGATCCCAACACCACAGAGGATCTGCAAGGCAGGATAAGGCATGTGTAGGTCTGTGTGTACAGGAGCACGGAGCAGACCACACAGATTTAGATGAGAATACTGAGAAAAGCTGAGAATTTAGTGACAGTGACTACAGCAGCTGAAATACAAAGGTAGTTTTTCCCACCTCTTTATTAGAAAGAGGGCAAGATAAAAATCCCATTGAACATACTGAGGTGTAAATAAATAAATAAATAAATCCAAACCCAACAAAAGAACAAATTGTCAAACCTGGGTTTCTGCTGGGTTTTCCAATACACTTTTGGCTCTGGATGATTTCTACAATGTGCTCTTAGCAAGGTCTAACCTCAACATCCAATTTTCCAAGAAAACAGATTGTAACCTAGATCAAAATGTCAAAGGTAACAAGAGAGGAAGCTGGTAACGGGCACCAGGAATGGGCCCAAGTCAAACACCCCAAGAGGCTGGTGTCAGAGGTGGTGGCTGCTCTGGACACTGCCCAAAGGGCACCAGTGTCGTCAGCGGCAGTGAGGCCCTTCCTCCTCTGTTACCACCCAACACTGAGAGCAAAGAGGAGCTGTTCTGCACAGAACAATAGCTCTGCAACCTGTGTGCCAAGTGATGCAAGAGAGCAGCCACACTAGTGCAGAGCTCGGCCTTTTGGGAAAGCAAAATGGGAGAGACAAGTGTACACAGGCAACCCCTGTGAAAACCCACACAGCAGGTGTAAAGCGCACAGCTCCGGTGAAGAGCAGCTCTCATACATTGTATATGAAACCCCAGCCTCTGAAACAGTATCTGCTCCAAGTGTTTACCCTCTGCAGGGCATCACAGCAGGGGAGGGAAGAAGGCAGGAAGGAAGAGCTTGGGCTAGTTTGATTTCTCAACACTGTAGCTCATCACAACTCGGTTGTCTTGCTTTGTCTCTTCACTTGGGATAAAAGCAAGTATGACAGAAGGAAACTATTACTGTCTAACCTGCATAGAGATAGCTCATCTTCAGCAGTTCTGGAGAAAAACACAACATACAAGATGGCAAGCCAAAAACCAAACCACCAGCCAAAACCAAACCAGAACACTGCAGCATATGGAAATAAATGATAATAGAAAAGAATTACTTTAGGAAAAGTCACTGCGGAAGAGCGAAACTACACTGCTCTGAACAACACAATGAATGCTTATGGCTGGCTAAACCAACCAAGGTCTTTCCAGCTTCTTTCACCTGGAAAATTCAGTGACAAATTCTCTGCGATGCCCTTTCTGTCTCACAACTCTTCTTCAGCAGTCCCAAGAGGAGATCAAGTGAATACCTGCTTTACCTGCAAGCTGCATCGGTTACTGCCTAGCAGGCACTGGAGCTCTGTCCAACCACAGACTTTGCATTCCCAGCTAAAGCAGCATTCACAAGCTTAGCAGAGCATCAGAGAAAGGTGTGTCAGCGTGTGACACTGACACACCTCACATCCAACACAATGAGCTGGGACATTCCCTGTGCATTTTTAAAACACTTTTTGTCTGAAGACTAGCATTGCCTACCTACTGTAACTCGCAATATGTTCTGCTTACACCCGCGCAGTCCTCACTGTGTCTACAGCAAGGATTCATACAACCACCCACAGCTGCTTGTCAACTAGAAGCCAGTACCTGCTGCCGTTCCACAGAAGTCAGTGTAGGTGTGATGCCAACTGTCCGGGTTGCATCCATGCTGTTTTTGGTCAGTGCTAGAGGTTGATCCATGGTCAAGCTTGGGATTGAGGCATACATGTGATTGGCATGAAGGCTCATTGTCGGGGCAGCAGCCCTCTCTATGGGGCTGCGACTCCTCTCTCTGTGCTCCTTCCGAAAGTCTCCATTGGCAGTCTTGTTTCTAAGGCAAGAAAGAAAAACAAGATCAAAGGACTCACTATGGTTACAAGCTAGAGCGGGGTACACAACACTGAATCCCTTCAAGAGGCAGGAGGCAATGCATTCTGCTGGGCCTGTGGGGAGGGCAGCGAACCCCTCTGTGAGGTACCCCTGCTCTATCCAGCCAGTGGTTTGCATCTGCAAGCTCTGGCAGCCAACAGTTTTCTTCAGCCTGGAATTCCTTCAGATCCTTAGCTAAATGCACTGAGTTTAAGTAACACTTCTGTTAAGATCAGACACCTCCTCATTTCACATACTATTAATCCCACTCTGTCTCCTGACACTGCAATATTCTCTAAGCATTATTAAGCCCATGCAAAGTCTGTTTTCCTCAAAAGCCATGGCTGTGAGCAAAACACAGCGAGTCACAGCAGGAAGCAGGATTTTCACAGCAGAAAAGGAAGGAAAAGCTAAACTGCACTTTTCCCAGAATCACTGGATTAAGCCATTCTTTAAAAAGAATCATTTCAAACTACTACTGAACAATAAATCTCAGTAAATGTCCTCGCATCATTAGCCTATCACTCACTGCAATTAAAATAATACTGATGTGGGGCTTATGTGTGAGACATCTCAGTTTCCACACATGAAAGGCAAAGCAGTGAGCCACAGACATACAGCACTGAGGGGTTCATGTGCTGCAGCACCCAGTGCCTCAGTGCCACAGAGCAAACCCAGTCCATCTTTCACACAGGAAAGCACTGGAGGAGAAGGCTGCTTCTATGCAACATAGAATTTCTGTCTTCAGAAGGTTCTTGAAGCAAGAGGGACGTGTCCTGTGTGTAAGTGGGTAAAATCCAAGGTATTTCCCCCACTTTTTAAGCATATATTAATATGCAGGAGCAATCTTTACAAATGCTCTGATGAGTATTAGGCAGAGAGAGAAAAGGAACAGAGAAGCGTTTTCCATAGTACTAGAAATGAAGATCTATGAAGAGTATTCAATATTGAAGTAAACTACAACTCCAAGAAGCCCCTGCCTATTGCAACATCAGGGAAAGCATCAAGAAGGCAGGCTGACAGCTGAGGGGAAAAGGAACAGAAGCCAAAGCCCTGCCAGCAGAGGGAAAGGAGGAACCCCGAAGCTTTACCAACCAAAATGCTACAGGAAAAACCTGCAGGAGTGCCCCAGGAGTCAGGGTGCTCATCAAGTTGCACAGCATTTGTTTAAGCGCCTTTGGAGACCACATAAACCATGAGCTTTGACAGCATCCAGTGGCAATGGATTCTTCCATTTAAACTACACACTTGTTGGGTACCTTTTCTTCACAGGTTGTTTTTGTTTCTTTTAAACGTGAAATCTACTGACGTGCTCTGCTGTCACCTCCTTCTTGTATGAGGAGAGGCAAAGCCATGGCTCCCTGCTGATCATCTTCACACCCCTCCTGAGTCCATCTCTGTCCAACAACCCTTTTTCTCCCAGGTAATACTTCCTTCAGGTACAAACTGTTCCCACACCTTTGTCATCCCTGTGGCCCCACCTGTGTTAGAGCTAGAGAAGCTCACTCTATCACCTCAATCTTTCTTGAGGTGAGGGTCCAGATCTTGGCTGCATTCACGAACAGGACGTTTGCTGAACTAATCAGCTATTCCCCAGCTTGCTCAGCAGTCACTTGGTTGTACAGAGATCTGCTATTGCTGCCCGAACCAAAACTCAATTGGCACGGTGGAAGTTAGGGTTAATACGATGCCAGGCAACCAGTGACTTCAGGACACAGCTCATTCTCTCTGCCAAATCCCCTCGATGTCCTTAGGAGGGAACAGTCAATAGAATAATACAATACATAACTGTTCAGATCCCCCAGCTCTGCCTCCTCCCTTGCATCCCTTGTCCCTCTTAACTCATGACAAATCAGGAGCTGCTGATCAGCAGCATCGACCATAAAAACTAACCTTTAAAGTTTCACAGCTGGTGCTCAAGAGGTTCTCTGAACATCATGTGTTTCCTGAATCCTCCTTTGCAGGCCAGATTCAGGCACAAAAGAGCAGCACACAAACCACTAGGAAATAACATTCTCACAGTGCTACATTTCCCTCTCCTGCCAGCGCTGGTCCCATTTCAATTCACAAGACTACTCTGCAGTATCAGCATTCACAAGAAAGACGTTTAGAATTGCAGCGCTCTGAGCTAATGACTGATGCAAATGTGTGACTTGAGGCAGCACAACAGACTATATTTGAAGTACAGTAGCCTCATCTAGAGTTACAGCACTGAGGCAGCCACCGAGCACAACAGCAACATCCATCACCACCCCTGAGGAAGCAAGGATGGACTTCACAGTGTGCCTTTGCTGGCTGGTCTGTACCTGGACAACAGCCACGAGACAGCCTGGGAAACAGCAACATGAAAAGACATGGCTAAAATCATTGTTCAGGCGATAAAGGCAATGCTGTGGAGAGGGGGACTCCCTCTCCTTGCTGCAGCACAGTTATCTTTGGTGGCTGCAAGCCAAGATCTTACTGTTCAACTAAATATTATCTGCTCTACTACAATTTAAGTAACCATTTGGAGGCTGCAAACCCACATACAGCTCCAGCACATTCCTGCTTCTCACTGCCTCAAAGGAAAAAAGTAACCCCTTCTCATCAGGACTGTATTTTGGCTTAACGAGCACAAGCTGAGTTTTCAAAGGAAAAAACTTGGTTTCCTCCACCCAAAAATGCCTGTAAAATGAAGCAAAAAATGCAGCCACACCAGTTGCTTGGGTTTTTTCCTGAGAACTGGGGATTTCAGCAACTCAGGGCTGCATTTCCTGGGGGGGCAGGGCTGTCAAGTGACCGGCCATGACCAAAGCTCCTGAAATTCCCAAGCAAAAGACATTTTCCAGCTTACACAACAGCACCTATTTCACTGCTCCTTACTTCACACAAACAGCCACAGCCCTATGTGTTGGTCAACTTGGAGGTTTTGCTGGGAAAAAAAACACAAAGCAAAGCAAAACAAAATCAAAACAACCCAAGAAAACTTCTGCAGAGGTTTTTGGAAGCAGGGACCGGGAAAGTGGGAAACGGGCTCAGCCGGAGACCAGGCAGCACAGCCCAGCACAGGGACCTTCCCGAAAGATACCCAGACTTAGGAAGCTCTCAGCAATCTCAGCACACCACACCCCAGCCCCTTCTGCAGGCACGTTAATTCCCTCAGCCCGAATTAGAACAACTCCTCTTCCGGGCAGGGAGCTGTTCATACCCCGCTCCTCAACGCTCCTCAGTCCATCTACCTTCACCTACAGAGTCTGGGCAAAAAAAGAGAAACACCTGAAGCTTCAATTCCACATCAGCCCAGCTGAAAATGCTACAGCACCGGTGGAACAGTAACATGATAGCTCTGTCCTTGTGAAAACACACCAGCACTTCTGAGTCCCTCCTGTTGAAATATAAATAGCAAATCCTACAGGCATCTGACTCCACTCGTAAAACAATTGGGCAGAAAATTATTTATAGTTAGCAGTCTCACGTTATTCAATAATTTCAGTTGAAAAGACAACTTCAAAACCAGTTTTAGATTAGAAACCGAAGGTTTGCTACAGTATTATTAATATTATTACCATACTTGAGAGAAGCCATTCTTGTTTTTATCTCAGATGCTCTGCCTGAAGGGGCAATCAAAACAGCCTGCTTGAAGAGAACTGCATTTCACTAAAGTCAGTTAGCTTAACAAATCCCCCCGCACTGAACAAGGGCAGAGGCATCTCTTCGTTCAAACACAAGAGCAGAAAATTACAAAGAAGGATTTCTGACCATGTTTGAAAAAAATCACTTAAAAATACATGCTACAAATAAATCCAGCTGTCCAAACAGCATTACCATCCCCCAGCTCCACGCTGCCCTAAAGATCAGCATGTGTGACTCTGGACTCCATCTCCTGTGGTGCAGATGTCAGTGCCCTCTATTCACAGTGGTGAGAGCCACCGAGCCCAGGCACTGGGACAGTCACCTCAGCCATGCCTACCACCCTTCCTTCCCTGCTGACAGGGGCAGGCAAGCTGCTTGCAGGCTTATTCTAGTAAAATTCTACACCATTCCAACCTTAACTTCTTCTCTCCAGCATTTGAAAAACAGACATTGTTTTCCATGTCTCTCCCCAGTGAATCATAACCAAGGCTCCAGCACTTACCAAGCATCATGTGCTCAGATGGATGTCATACCAAAACCACACACATCCTGACTGAGAGCTGCAAGTGTCCTGCAGCGGGGTTCTAAATACCTTTTGTTAATTGAAAGCCATGTTTGAGCCCTCCTCAGGAGCCAGTTCAAAGGTAGCTCAAATGCATTGTTCTGAGGATTTTGTTTTTGCTGTACAACCTCTGAATGTGGCTGTTCTGCTCCCTGGCACACAGCGGCGGTAATTCACACTCATCCTACAGGAACAAGCTCGCTCTGCCAGCTGCTGAAGGAAAAGGGAAAGAAAGAGGCCCACTGAAGGGGACAGTTTTGCTTGCACTCACTTCCAGCCTGCAGATCCTTAAGGAACAGATGCCAAAAGTATTACTGTACCTCCAAGTGAAGAAATCACAGACGTTTCACACTCCCTTTGGCAGAAATAGAGCTCTAACTTGGAATGGTTGTACTGTAGGAGTGTGTTTCACTCACAGAAAGAACAAGTATCCACTTACAGTGCTTTTAATTGCCATGTTAGATGTTTTCTTTAAACATACACAGCGCACAATACTGCTTAAGAGCAGACTTTCATCTCTGTAACCTAATTCAAATACAGTTTAAGTATTTTCAGCATCTTTATAATGCACCTATTCTAACATATTTTACTTTATTTATTCACAAACTCTTAGGTCTGAAAGAAGACAGCTGCTTTTGTTACAGACTACTTAAGGATTTACAACCCACCACTAGAAAACATCTTCTCCACATTATGGGGATCATTTCCTGCAAAAGTATCTACTTGTATACATAGATTCTGTCACTGTGAGGTGGGAATACAAGTATTGAAGGTCATATTTCAAAATA